TATAATGGATGAATATAAAATATATCAATATATATAATAACATATAATAAATATCATCAATCTTATTAGCAATATTGTTATCATTCTGTTGCATTTTTATTCCTCAAGTTTCATTAATCAGCCTATTATATATATATATATATATATATATATATATATATATATATATATGTAAGCAAATATATGGATATAGATCCGACAGTATGAAGAAAAATATACAGAAAAAACAAACAAAAATCTTAATATGCAATTATCCTGTATTAATGTTAATATAATGTCAACGTCGGACGTTTCGGTCTATTTTAGACCATCATCAGGACATATTCATAAAACATAATTAACATTGGAACATATACAAATTCAACATGAAAAAGACGATGGACATAAGAGCACGACTAATCCAAACAGATAACTGAAATTTTTATAAGATCAGCGTTCCGTTTAAATATGATCACGTCGTCGTCACGTGGGCGATGTTGTGAAAACGTATTCGAAGATGATTTCAAAATATTTAAATTCAAATTTAATTCTATTAATACTTTTTGTAAAAACTTTTTTAAAGGAAAAAGTAACCAACCCTGTATCGTTAGAATCTAGCATTCACGTTTCCACTTAAGGTCTCTCTGTCTCTCTCTCTCTTTCTCACATACAAACACACACACACACCCACACCCACACACACACACACATATATATATATATATATATATATATATATATATAGATAGATAGATAGATAGATAGATAGGTGATCATGAACATTCCAAACTATTCGTTTCTAACTTCCAAATCCAAACAGGAAAATGGAAGCATTACTTATCACCGGTAATTTTTTCGTAAGTCTTTCCTGTATTTATTTCTATATTGAATGTTTCAGGAGTCTACTTAGCAGATGCCAACAATGCTTGTCGGGGGGGGGGGGGGCTTTTTCATCTTAACTGACGTAATTGATTACCTGGATCCATACAGAACAGATGGTCTTGTCGCGTTCTCTTTCTGTTTCTCACACTCTCTTTTACATCTATCCCCATTTGAATAAGGAGCATTCGAACGCGCATGCGCATATATACAGAGGAGTGTGTGTGTGTGTGTGTGTGTGTGTGTGTGTGTGTGTGTGTGTACGTGTGTGTGTGTGTGTGCACGCGCATAGTACATTCTTTCGATATTTACTAAGTTTAGACAAGTACGTCACAAGGCCAGATACGCAGTACATTCTTTCTATGAAAGTTATCTCCATGCGTGTGTGTAGAGGGAGGCTAGTGTAGATTACTAAACATCAGTGTAACACGCTTTTAACTCGTTCTCATTCAGTATCACAACCAGTCACTCTTTTTCTTTTATCTCTTGTCTTTTTACCATTATCCTTCTCTCCCTTTGTTTAATATCCCTTCAAAATGTGGACGATCACCGCTCTCCACAACTTCCTATCTTTTGTCGCTTCTTTGCATCACTTTTGGTAGTGCTTTATACAATATCCATTTATTAATACTTTTCATGTAGGTGACTCGCCGTTTTCCCTTGCTTCTTTTACCTTCACAATGCCTTTGGAGAGTTAAATTCTCCAAGCCTTCTTTCCTCGTTATGTGTCCCCAGAATTCCAACTGTCTCTTTCTGACTGCTAGCAGATGTTTTGTAATGGTTAAGATTTTCCTTAAATCTGGCTCTTTTCTCAAATCCTATTCTCTTAATTCGTTAGAACCATTTCTCTGTCGCTTCGTGATGAAATTTTTCAGCATTCACTTCCACGTGGCAGTTTATCTATTACGTAACAGTTCAAGGATCTTTTCTTTGTTTCTAAGAACATTTTCCGATTACTTAATACTAGACTCATTTTTTGAAAAGCATCTTTAGCTATTACTATTTACCTTCGGCTTAGCCTCACGTTTTCGAATGACTTGAGGTGGAACAACGACATCGAATCAATAGCTGCATCTTCTGCTAGGAATGTCGGGTCACTGTGTCGTACCAAAATGTTTTTTCTTGTCAGGGTCTATTTTACACATCTACAAATGTACCATTCGTCCATGCATTGAATATTGTGGCCATATTTGGTCTGATGCCCCTGCTGTTCATCTCGAACTTCTCGACGTGGCATCTCGACTTCAGTCACTTTCTCATGTGTATTACATAATCGTTCCTTCTTCTTTTTTTTCTTTATTCTCACGAAATTAACTTGTTTCTTATTACTTTGTTTAGCTTTTCGGAGACATCTTTCGTTACACTTATGCACATTTGTATTTTCGTGTCGAATTCTCCGACACCTCTTATAAAATTTCCCAGATATTTAAATTTTTCTACTTGATTGATTTTGACGTATCCATTTTGTAGTTTTGCAGCTTGGGTCGTTCCTTTCGTTAATAACCATAGATTTCGTTTTCTTACAATTAACGCTTCATCCTTTCTTTTCGCTTTCTTTTACTACCGTATCTAGAAGCATTTGCAGTTTTCTTTCTGTCTGCTATCAACACGGTTTAATTTCCACATCTTACGTTGTTAAGATTCTGCCCACCAGTAATAAATCCTGGTAGGACTTCTATTTCTTTTAGGATAATTTCACTGTAATGGTTAAATAAATCCTATGAGAAAAGGCATCCTTGTCGTAAGCTCTTTTCCATTTTTTGTGTATTTGCTCAATTCCATTTCTATCCGTATGCATACCGTCGATTCCCAGTAAATATTCTGGAATATTCTAATATCTTTCCTGAATAAATAAAGCTTTTATAGTAATTCAAATAGATCTCTATGAAACATTGGTATAGTTGTGGGGTCATTAGAAACATCAGACCGTCTCTTAATAGCACCACATTGGAAACGAAGCTAAAATGTCATGGTTGTGTTCGGAAACAAAGCAAAACTTCACTATAAAAAGATATATATAAAAGGTAAATAGCCGAGAAAAAACAACACTCGTGGCCTGACTATTGCGTCTGGCATGAAACAGCCTGTCGCCTCTAAGTGTTGACTTCAATGTTCACTTATTTCTTGAATATTATTCGCTTACTTTTGTCTTACCAGACTTTGAATTATGGCACTTTGTGTCCCTCACATGTTTCGTCTGACCTTTCAACCACGTGATGAATATCCGTGATCGTTTTCAAATTTAAGATCTTTGATAAACGAATGTCATCCTTGCTCTCGTATGTAAATACGTAGCACAAAATATATCCTACAATTGCCATGATAAAGTCCCTCAGAGAATGAAACACGTCGGCTATTGTCTTTTTATTCATTTTGTTCCATCACAAAGACACACTATCTGAAAATAGTCTCCGACTGATGTCAAATCGGTCGGGTTTCGATCCTAGCTTGAAGCAATCGCATGTTTCGCCACACTGATGAGCTGTGATGCAGCTAAACAGTGTGTCTGTGGCGGACTATATATATATATTAATCAATTCACCCAAGCAAGGCAATAATGTCACTACGTTACAGAGGACTACTGGTAGTAAAAGAGAATTAAAAGACTTTTGAGGGAACCGAAAACACAATCCTAAACAGGAAATTAAGATTTTACAGCAAGTTCTTTGAGAAGAATCATTATCATTTTAACTGTTGTTCCAACAAGTGAACTCATTCTTTGTGTTATTGATGTTAATCCTACAACGTTTTGGTTGATCCATTCTACAGCCTTCATCAGGTGAACTCACCCCCTACTGTGTCACATTCTGTAATAGATTTATTGGGAATAAATGCCAGAAAATTGAAACAAACAGAAAATTCGAAATGTTTACAACAATTCTTGCAATCTATTCTATTTTCAACAACGTGTGTAGTTCAACGTTTTATTTGTACGTATGAATTCGTTTTCCTATAAATTATTTCAGTAAAGAATTCCACAATCTGTTCTTGTTGAATAATGAAACCGACTTCCAATTGAAATGCACATTATTCGTTCAGAAAAAAAAAACAGTCATCTCCTTGTCTGTTCGATGTACCTGGAGACAGTGGGAGTTACGAGTGTCCCTCCAATGAAACTTTGCTTGTTCTTGTATGCTCGCAAATCCGTTGTTTTAGGAAATTTAATACTCAATAATCCTGACAGGAAACAGGAGTTTGCTGAAGTCAGTTTTAATTAAAATGAAAGCCCTTTTTAACCTTTAACAATTGTTACTTTCCTTTCATTTTAAATTGTTTAAATTGTTTGGATATTTGATAATCTGAAGTTGTATAAGTATCTTCCATGCAAAATGCCTTGAGAAAATTTTATGCCAATTAAGTCAGGCCATTTTCCTTTAATATTGGTTGTCTGGGGCCATTTTGCTTCTACAGTGTCTCCTCAAAATGTAAGCACAAAAATTATCGTTATTATTTCCACAACTAATTTTCATCTAAAATTGCAAAGATGTTACATCGTAATATACAATCTATTATTATAGTACCAACGAGCCGCATGATATAAGACTCATAAGAAGATACAAGGTCATTTTTTATAGTAGGTACTTCAGTTATTTTCACTACAGAAGACCATACACGTAATCATATACTTTAGAAATGGTGGGGGAGTTGATTTCTTTTTCTTTGAGGAAAAGATTTTTCTAGAATTAAAAAAATTGAAGCCTTGGTATAATACAGTGGTTCCCCCAAACGGTTTTAGGTGCGGCATCTAAAAGGCGGGAATGGGATAGCATGTGAGGCATAAGAGGATAGCAGGTGAGGCGGAAGAGGATAGCAAGAGGATCAGGTGAGACGGAAGAGGATAGCAGGTGAGGCATATACAATCTATTATTATAGTACCATAGGATAGCAGGTGAGGCATAAGAGGATTTCGGAAAAGGATATAAGACTCATAATAGGATAGCAGGTCATAAGAGGATAGTAAGGCGGAAGAGGATAGCAGAGGCAGAAGAGGCAGTAGGATGAGAGGCGGAAGAGGATAGCAGGTGATAGAAGAGGATTTCGGAAGAGGAAGAGGATAGCACGTGAGGCGGAAGAAGATTCATATAAGATTAGAAATGGTGGGGAGTTGATTTCTTTTCTTTGAGGAAAAGATTTTTCTAGAATTAAAAGGGCGAAGAGGATAGCAGGTGAGACGGAAGAGGATAGCAGGTGAGGCGGAAGAGGATGGCAGGTGCGGAAGAGGATAGCAGGTGAGGCGGAAGAGGGATGGTTGGTGAGACGGAAGAGGATAGCAGGTGAGACGGAAGAGGATAGCAGGTGAGACGGAAGAGGATGGCACGGTGTGGAGAGGGTGAGACGGAAGAGGATGGCAGGTGAGGCATAGGTGAGGCGGAAGAGGATAGCAGGTGAGGGAAGAGGATGGCGGAAAGAGGATAGGATAGCAGGTGAGGCGGAAGAGGATAGCAAGACGGAAGGATAGGCGGAATAGGGATGAGGTGAGGCATAAGAGGATAGCAGGTGAGGCGGAAGAGGATAGCAGGGGAGGCGGAAGAGGATAGCAGGTGAGACGGAAGAGGATAGCAGGTGAGGCATAAGAGGATAGCAGGTGAGGCGGAAGAGGATAGCAGGTGAGGCGGAAAAGGATAGCAGGTGAGGCGGAAGAAGATAGCAGGTGAGGCAGAAGAGGATAGCAGGTGAGGCGGAAGACGATAGCAGGTGAGGCGGAAGAGGATGAGGCAGGTGCAGGTGAGGCGGAAGAGGATAGCAGGTGAAAAGGTGAGACGGAATAGGATAGCAGATAGCAGGTGAGGCAGAAGAGGATAGCAGGTGAGACGGAAGAGGATAGCAGGTGAGGCGGAAGAGGATAGAAGGAAGGATAGCAGGTGAGACGGAAGATAGCAGGTGAGGCGGAATGATTGAAAGGTGAGACGGAAGAGGATAGCAGGTGAGGCGGAAGAGGATAAAACGACGGAAAGATAGCAGCAGGTGAGGCGGAAGAGGATAGCAGGTGAGACGGAAGAGGATAGCAGGTGAAATAGGATAGCAGGTGGAGGCATAAATATAGATTTCAGGTGAGGCGGAAGAGGATGGGCGGAAAGGATTAGGTGAGGCGGAAGAAGATAGGGTGAGGCAGAAGAGGATAGCAAGGCGGAAGACGATAGGTGAGGCGGCATGCATGCGTCCCAGAGGATATAAGGTGATTATAAATAATTATTGACCGAGACGGAAGAGGATAGCAGGTGAGGCGGAAGATAGCAGGTGAGGCAGAAGAGGATGAGGTGAGACGGAAGAGGATGATTGAGGGCGGAAGAGGATTGCAGGTTCTATGAGGCAGAAGAGGATTGAGGCGGAAGAATATAGGCGGAAAAGGATAGTGGGTGAGGCTAGGGTCCAGGTGAGGCGGAAGAAGATAGAAAATGATTGAAAGAAAATCAAAGATTTAAAAACGGTTTTAAAAAATCATATGCCAAAAATAAATATGATTTCAGAATTATGGATTACTTGTAATTGCATGCATGCGTCCCAGTATATAACAATTATAAATAATTATTGACCGATTTTATCATTGTGATATTTTGCATTCTATCAAGTATTAAGAATATAGCAACTAGGGTCCACAAATTGGAGGAGTGAGTTATCAATGATAATGTTCAAATCCAAGATTATCTCCCTTTTTACGCCTCTCTCTCTCTCTCTCTCTCTCTCTCTCCCTCTCTCTCTCTCTCTCTCTGTCTGTTTTTTTTTTTTTAATTTTTAAATGTCCTTTTTATCACATAAAATTTGGTGAGGCGCGAGCAAATTTTAATTCCGAAAATGCGACCCAGTGAAAAAGGTATGATATTATCACTAATGACAGTGGGGTTAACAAAGGTCGCTGCGTCTGATTTATTTCTAATTTATTCATTTGAAAATAAAAACGTATTATTCTTTAGAAATAAACTATGATGTTTCAAAAGTAAAGAATGTTTACAGGCATGATCTTCTTTCGTGAAAATCGCCAATATGTTAGAATGATGAAAACGTTATTTTCATCTTATGCTTACAAGATTCAAGAAATCATTGTTTATGGATGTCGTTATGTATGAGAGAGAAAATGTGAGTGAACAAGTGAGAACGAAACAAAATAAGAAAATGAAGAAACGTTATTTTCCTTATGAAATTAAGCGGGCCATTCAGAAAGACCAAACGGACCGCAGTTTTTGGCCATGACTATTATAATTTATCTTTCAATGATCAATCCCTGATTACGGTCATACAATCATTTTCCATCGCCTAACAGGACGTGACGATAGCTAGCGACTGACGTATTTAACACGTTCAGCGTTTTTTTTTCGGCAATATATATGTGTGTGTGTGTGTGTGTGTGTGTTTGGGTAGCACTAATATTTTTGGAGTGAAATATCATAAAATCTTTTGTTAAAGTAAATTTCGACGAATATTTGAAAATATGCAGACCACACACGTTGGTATAAACAACAAGATCTCGAAGCAGATTTAACAACAACTGCTCTTACAGGAAGTCGAGCAGATTGCATCAACAAAAATAAACAAGTAAAATCAAGCGAATATCAACTAAACCAAGCAGTGTTGACCATCATAGATGACAGACGAAACTAAGTGCGTAAAACAAACCAGTTGTGAATAATTAATATGGATAGTTTTTGTTAATTAGCACAAAAGAAATTGAGACAAACAGTAAAATAATTTACATTTGTTCCTTAAGTAAACGATTCTAACCGAAGATAGAAAAGAATTTACTGCCACACCCACGAATTCCGTGGCCTTTCCTGTCGGGTGAGAAATCTTGAATTATTCCTGGAAGCTTCTTCACGATAACATCGTTGGCTTCATAACATCCACTTCGACCAACATTTTTATCTAAAGACTGTGCACTTTTACAAGAAGTAAATGGTGAGAATACTCGAGTACTCACAGCTGAAGCGACACTTGAATGTGTTCGTTTCTCTGCAATTAATTGTGACGTGGCCGAGCGACACTTGAACGTGTTCGTTCCTCTGCAATTGATTGTGACGTGATTTTTGCATATTTCTACATGAAAAGAAAAGAAAACTTTTATCAAAGACTGAAAAAGATATTAAAAATGATGTTTAAGTAGACTGGTTGTAATTGTTTATTTCGACACAATGTCTGTCTTAATATTTGTCAATGCTGGTCTTAAAGCAACTTCACTATTCTTAAGGCTTTAACAATAATATATTTTAACTTATATCTATTTTAGAAAATGTCAATTTGTACAAATTCGTGAGAAGAAATGACAGAAGCGCCTCTATCCCCAACTGTGAGAGAACTGAGAATTCAATTTTAAAAATGAAATCAAATTTATCTCTTAAAAAATCTCTTAAAAAATGTTTGAGAGTCGAATCCCATATGATTTCAATAAATTCTTCAAAAGCTTTCAATTATAGATATTTCTCGAGTTCTATTTCAATAATGAATGGATTTGGGATGCAATTTAATTGATTATTGCCAAATTAGGATTGGAATGTTGAATGAGTTACAAAACATACTAAGTGATCAATAATGATTTTCTTGATCGAGTTAAAGCTTCAATTATTTTCAACAAAATTATTCTGTATATAAAAACATTTCAAATATTTGGCTTCCATTTTTATAAATTCTTGAATTTTAGAATTCAGTGTAAAATTATTCGTTTTTCGCTTTCAGTTCGCCTGGTTTTTCAAACGCTTCTAACAAAGAGTATAATTTGCGGAGCTGATTTTCACTGAGAAAACATCCGATTGAATTTATGAATACTGACCAGTCGCAACATTGCTTAATTTCCGTGATCGTACGAGAACCAGTGTTTCTACGTGATGTGGCTGTAAGCCTTATATACTATAAGGAGCATATACATGAATATTTACTACCAATATATATATATATATATATATATATATATATAAATAATTTTAAAAAAATAAAAAATTTAAAACATCAAAGAAAAACAGTTAAATCCATTACTTCAGTTTTTTGAAGATGTACAGCACATCCATCCATCTCAAGCTATAACAAATTGATCACAATTTAAATAATGTTCATTTATTTTAAAAATATTTCTTGAATATTACTCGCTTTTTGGAACTTACCAGACTTTGAATTATTGCAATTTTGAGTGACCTTTCAACCCCCTGATGAATATTCGTGAATGTTCTCAAATTTAAAAGCTTTGATAAACGAATAACACCTTTGCTCTTGTATATAAACACGTGCAACAAAATAAATCCTATATTTGCCTTGATAAAGTCTCTCAGAGGACGAAAACGCGTCGGCGAAGAATAGTTTTTACTCTTGTTTTTTTATTCATCTTCTTCCATTACAGATACACATTATCAAAAAATAATTTACGTATAAAATGATGCCGAAATCAGTCGATTTCGAGGTATCAGGATCCGATAACCTCATTGAGTTTTTTAAGTCCACATATTGTGTAACAGCGTGGATCTTGGACACAGCTACAGAAATATTTGTTGTCGCTTTTCGCCGTTGTCTCTCGTGGCTTAGTCAGTCAATACGACTGATTTCGACATTTCTGATATCACTCCGCCACAGATATCTCCATTTGTTTCTATCCAGGGCAACTCGCTCGAAGTTTTTTATATATATATATATATGTGTGTGTGTGTGTGTGTGTGTGTGTGTATATATATATATATATATATATATATATATATATATATATATATATATAAAGTTTGTTCGCGTTTTTGCGCAGTGTTTGGTCCTTGAAGCATTTTTATTGCGTTTCCTGTTTACCCCTTTACTTTTTATTCAATTGAGGCCAAAAATTCTTTTTTTTTCTCATTTTAAAATAACACTTTTGAATAATGTAAGAATTTTACAGTCCAGGTTTCCCATTCATATCAGTTTGTGAATGGCTTTACTGTATAAAAATAAGAGATTTGAAAAGAATTAAAATAATCCTTGCATATTATGGTAAAGATATAACAGAAGAAAAACATTTTAATACTACTACTACTACTACTACTACTACTAATAATAATAATAATAATAATAATAATAATTTTAATGGTACGAATAAAATATTTTCCGTGATGGAAAAATAAATGCAAAATTAAGAAGAAGAAAAAGAAACAGAAAAATCAAAGCTAATCCCCCACACATCGTGAGTAAAAATCCCAAAGACAAAATGTGCCTCCTTATTGATATGGCAGTCCCTGTCGACTGCAATGTATTTTTGTCGATCTTCAAAAACCTATCGCAGTAACTTGAAATCGAAATCTCAAAAATGTGGCACATGAGGATATCAAGATAGTTGGAGCCCTCGAATTGATTGGAAAATGTCCCAAGAGACACATTGAAGGGATTCCTGGTAGCCCATGCCTTAAAGAAATACAAAAAATTGTTGGATGCAATCTGGAAATCTAATTGAGATTCTTTCGAGTCACTGTAGTAGCGGTGTTAATGTGTGGTATCATTGTTTTGACATTAACTAAAACCCTAGAGTCTAAGCTTGATGGAACCTACACTCGAATGCTGAGAGCTATATTTAACATCACTTGGGAATAATATCCAACTAACTCGCAGCTGATATTCCTACAATCTTACGCAAAAGCAGAATGCGCTTTGCAGGACACGACTGACGAGTAAAATAAGAACTCACGAATAATCTACTACTCGGGACACCTAACCATGGAGCGAGACGAGTTGGTCGACCAGCAACCACCTACATTAACTAGCTATGTTATGACACAGAATAACACCCTAATGACCTTCCGACCTTGATGCAAGACCTTGATGACTCGAGGTCGTAGCACCTGTTAGGGTCCCAGCTATGTGCAAATAGTGAACCACCCACAAACAAAAACAAAACACTATGAAAATATAAAAATATATTTTTATAACAAAAATACCAGCAATACATTTTTAACCAAAAAAACATACCAACGATACATATTCATAGCAAAATTACCAACAATACATTTAAAAGCAAAATGACCAACAATACATTTTATCTGTAGTTGAAGGCATACAATTGCATTCAAAATATATTTAGCTGAAGTCATAAAATTGTGTTGAAAATATTTACATTTCGGCATTAAATAACCCATAGAGGTGTTGATATGCCGCTAAACAAAATCAACCAACCAACAATACATATTTATAGTAAAATGACCAACAATACATTTTATCT